GAGAGAGAGAGAGAGAGAGAGAGAGAGAGAGAGGAAGGGAGGGAGGGAGAGAGAAAGAGAATGAAAACACTGGCTTTGGAATCAGGAAGATCTAGGTTTAATTGCTGACATGTAATAGATGTTTGACCCTGGACAAGTCACTTAGCTAACTGCTTAATGTGCCAGGCAGCTCTCTAAGGTGGTTACAGATGACTTGTTAATGGATATTCATGAGAAATCATAGGTCTGGCAACCTCTTTTGTCCCCTGCCCCTATCTTTCCCAAAGCAGTAACATTATTATTGTTTAGAGTGTCTTAAACTGCATCCAGAGTCAGGAGGCACCTGGGGTTAAATTCCATGTAGCTACTCATTTAGTTGTGTAATCCAAGGCACGTCATGACCCTTACTTTGGCCCTCTGTGTTAGCACAGTGAAAACGAGAGCTAGGTTTGGAATTAGGAAGCTTTAGTAGCTTCAAAGTGCACTAAAGGATTTTGGGACACTCTACATACATAGCATATGCTTCACAAACCTCAAAGTGCTGGCAAAAGTAAGCCATTGATATTGTTTTATTTTCAAAGTTCTGGTAATCCATTTCAGAGGCATCTCTATGAAATGAATGGGAAAAGTCTCATCCTCTACCATCACTCCTGGAGTTGGAGCCGATGAACCACTTTTTAATTGATTTTCACCCCCAGCCATATTCAGATCTACTGGAGTCTTTGGAAGGACAAAGATGGTTACTGGCTTGGGTGCGTCCTTGGCTCAGGCTCTACAGTCCTGCAGTAGGTGAGATACAACTAAATGCCCCAGAACAAATGCTACCTCACCTGGAGGAGAAAGCCTTCAGGAGGAGAACACAGACAATTGTTTTTTCAAGTAATTTATGATAGGAACGTCTTAGGGAGAATATTTGCCAACCACCACCATTGAGGGCTTATGTTCTTTTTGAAAAAAAAAAAAAAAAAAAAAAAGAACCAGCATCCGCAAGTATAGAGGACCCACAAATCCAGGCAGTAGGGGTCTGAAATAGCAATTCTGAACCTGGGATTTATGGACCCTCTAGGGTTCCACGGAAGGATCTCAGGAAGTCCATGATCTTGGATGGAAAAAAAAAGACATCTTTCTATTTTCACTAACTTCTAACTGGAATTATTTAAAAACATTCTTTTGAGAAGAAGTCCATAGGTTTTATCTGACTGTCAAAGGGCTTCAACACATAAGATCAAGAATTCTTGCTTTATGAAGACTCAGTGCCGAGATATTTGGTGTTGAACACTTGGCCCACAGAGCCTGGAAGATCAGAAGAGCCCTTGGGAGGCACATGGACTCCAGGCAGCTGGTTCTCCACACAACTCCAGGTGACTCAGTCTCTATGGAATGTCATGCCTTTGGAAGTTTAGTTTCCAAAGGTAACTTAAACTACAACTGTAGCACCGTACTGTCCATATGTGCATGGAAACCCCTACCAGGATCTTATTCTGGGACTTCCATGTAGTATTCTTTAGGAATGCTGGATTTGGAAGTAGAAGGCCTGGGTTCTAATCCTGATTCTGTCACTTACTACCTGTATGACCTTGGGCAAGTCACAAACTCTTGGGGCCTCAGTTTTTCCATCAAAGGCTTGGACTAGACGTCCTTGAAGGTCACTTCCAGCTTTAAGCCTACAATCAATACTATTGAAAAGAACACTTCACATAGCACTACCATTAGGCCCAGTCATATGTGATCTTCAAGAAGGGAGAGGAATTGGATCCATGATTTTATTGGTATCTGGAATTTCTGGGTGAAGGAATTCCTACCAATTCAGGGAGTCAGCTTTCTGCAACTTTTGTCTTAGAAAGTTGCCCACAATCCTGAAAGGTTAAGTGATTTTCTCCCAATGTCACACCATGTGAGTCCAAGGGGGGATTTGAACTCAGGTCTTCTTGGCTTCAAAGCCGGTTCTTGAACCACTACACTGCTGTTGTCTCATGAACTTTCCCCCAGCTTTCCAACAAGTGTTCATTGAACTAATCTGAGCCAGGTCACAGGGTCTGGAGGCTGATGGCACTAGACTCCCATTAGCATTCCTGTCTCTTCTTTATGGCTAGTAGCAACCTCACCCATGCAGATGAAACTTTATTCCCAAATAGGCTAAATGCAAACATGCCAATTCTCACAAAGACCACTTAAGATACTTCCTTTGATTCAAAGCAATAAGGAACAAATAAACTTACAGTGATCCAGGTTGCCCGACAACACAGTAGCAATGGTAGTCTGGTGCCACCTATAGTTGAAATCTGTGATTAATGAAAGTTTTGAGTGCTTTCTGCTCTAGAGCACATCTGGGCTCCCCTGAGCACACAGTGCTCTCCTCTGCCCTTGGACAGAGGCTAGTGCTAAGGAATAATGGCTGTCCAGCAATCAACAAGCATGGATTCTGTGCTTGCTATGTTCCAAGCACTGTCAAGCCTATGGTGTCTAGGAGAAGGGGATGGCTTCCCTGGAACCTTTAAGAACATTGGTCTACACATGCCATGTCTTCTGCTGGGGACGTACTTTCCTTGTATGAGACTAGCTTATGGTTTGATGCATCTATCTATCTATCTATCTATCTATCTATCTATCTATCTATCTATCTGTCTATCTATCTTTGTGTGTGTGTATGCATATATATAGAGAGACAGAAAGACACAAAGAGAGACAGAGAGGCAAAGAGACAGAGACACACAGAGAGACAGTTAAACAGAGATAGAGAAAGAAGAGAGAGAAATGAAAGAGAGATAGACAGAGAGACACAGAGAGAGACAGAGACAAAGAGAGACAGTTAGACAGAGACACAGAGAGAAAGAAGAGAGACAGAGAGACAGAAAGACACAGAGAGAGACAGAGAGACAAAGAGACAGAGACACACAGACAGAAAGGAGAGGCAGTTAAACAGAGACAGAGAAAGAAAGAGAGAGAAATGAGAGATAGAGAGACACAGAGAGAGACAGAAACAGAGACAGAGAGACACAGAGAAAGACAGACAGAGATGAAAAGAGAGACAGAGACAGTTAGACAGAGACACAGAGAGAAAGAAGAGAGACAGAGAGATAGAAACAGAGAGAGAACACATAGAGAAAGACTGTTCCATGCATAATAGAAATAAGATCTGAGATCTAGATCTGGAAGAGATTTCAAATCCAACTCTTTTTCATTTGTAAAATGAAGAAATGGAGGACCCAGGAAGGTCAAGGGCCTTGCCTCAGGTTACAAGGGCAGTACATATCAGAGGAGTGATTTGAACCCAGGCCCTTGGATACTAGACACAGTGCTCTTCCCACATCACCACAGCTAAGCTCATTTAAGGCCTTTAGGTTTTTGCCTTGAATCACTGTTAATTCTGATAATAAGTTCTACAGTCCGGTCCTCAGAGATTCCTCCCAGGGGATGATGATTTTGCATTGAAGACCAAAGCAGAAGCGTTTATCCAATCTAATGCTTCTAAGAGTCCAAAGGGAAGTGGGTAGGATTTAGCAGTCAGAAGGAGTTAAATAAGAAAGCCCCCTCGGGTAAAAATGCAAGAAATCGCCTTAGTACGGCTTTATCGCCTTGGGAAGCTAGGTAGACCTTTTTATAGGGAGAGCCCCATAATTCCTTACAGAACTAATCACCAAGAATGTGACTCTGGAAAAGGAAATTATGTGACGTGACAGCGAATGGTTCTGAAAGGATTGTAGTAAAAACACCTTACAATGGGCTCAGGTTTTAGGAGGGATGCATTTGCGTCTCGCTGAGCTCTGAGCACGGATTAAGACGAAGGAGACTGTGTACAAATTCCCAGCTAAGCTCTCAGAGCAGCTATCTGACGTCTGCGGATAGCTTGGTCCTCCTACTGGAGCTGTCCGGAGCAGGGTGATGGACTAGCTAACCTCTTGGGATCCTTTCCTCACTTAGGAAGGGTCCTGACCCAGAACGCCTTCTGAGAGGTGGGGGCTACGGCAGCGGGATGCTGAATGTTCTGATAGATGTTTTGGTGTTCAGTTTTGTTTAAGTGTTTTTCTTCGTTAAATGTAAGAATTCGAAGGCAGGGATCAGGTTAAAAAACCTCAAAGGCACAAATAAAACATTGAAAAAATGAATGTAGTGATATGTCCAAATTGTTTGGAGTTGAAAGCCATTCTAGGCAAAATAAAGAGATACTTTCAGCCTCATTTACTCGACAAGGATTTATTGAAAGCCTACTATGTTCCAAGAGCTAGTGCTGCCTGCCATCAATTTAAAGACAAAAAAATAGACTTTTGATCTCACAGAATTTACATTTTACTGAGGAGGGAGAATAGCATGCACATAGGAAAGAAAATATGAGTCTATATGAGAAATAAACACAAAATAATCTGGCGAGAGGAGAGCAGGAACCGCCAGGGGGAAGCTAGCTAGCACCCTGAGAATTTAGAATTTGAGTGTGGGCACAGAGACCCTCCTCTAATGCAGACCCCACCTGCTCTAGACTTTTGCAGATGGTTTCATGAGCTGTTGCAGTTGAAAAAAATGCTTCTTTTGGTGATGAATCTCTCAGAACTTCCCTACTGGTCCTCAGGTGATGGGCACCCAGCTCATTGCCAGGTTCACATTCAGAGCCTTTCCAGCTTGGTGGGACCTGTCAGGGCTTATTTTCCACTGGCAGAGCCTTCAAGAGCCGAAGGTCACCTCTCTGCTACAATGAGGCATCAGAAACAGGCTTTAAATAGAGGATCCACTT